AGAATAGAATAGAATAGAATAGAGAATAGAATAGAATAGAATAGAATAGAATAGAATAGAATAGAATAGAATAGAATAGAATAGAATAGAATGGAATAGAATAGAATAGAATAGAATAGAATAGAATAGAATAGAATAGAATAGAATAGAATAGAATAGAATAGAATAGAATATACTAGAATATAACAGAACAGAATGTAATACGATTATGCTGTAAATAATGAGTATATATTGCAACATAGTATGCTATCATAGAACTCTCGACCCTAAACCCTTCGAGGCAAAGTCTCATGGCGACTGTGACGATGCTAAGCGAACCTGAACTAACATTGCAGTACACAGCATAACGTGATACTATGCCATGCCATACCCTACCCTGCCCTACCAGATCATGCAGTAGAATAGGATAGAACGGATAGCCATACTTGAAAGCTGGAACAGTAGAAGATAGAAAAACATGGCACAGAATAGTAAGGTATGACAAAACATAATATCATACCGTAGCATCCAATACGTCTGTGTGTGTATATATATATAAATATTTATATATTACAGAATAATATATTGTAACACGATATACCATAATCTGCTCTAGTCGTAGAATGTACCTCGCGAATCATGTAAGATAAAATGGTTCCGAAAAGACGCGATGCAATGCGACATGTTACGATGAGGTATGGCACTGAGATAAATTGCGATACAGGATACAATGATATGATATGGAAAGACATACTATAGCATGATGCAAGATACCATATCCTAACATGATACAGTAAGTGTAATATAGTATAATCTGGCAAGATATGGTATAAAGATGATATGGTAAAATACAAATCTGATTCGGGACCTTCCTGATATTAGTTGACAAGACATGATGTCATGAAATGATATGACATGACCTGTGATGACATCGTACTCTGATACTATGTGCTACAGTTCGGTATTGCATAAGGCGATATGATATAATTCTGTATGATGCGATATAACATGTCATAACACAGTATGACCAGGTATGCCATAACCGAACCTAACACAACATAAAGCAGTGCAAATGAGATTGCATAATACAACGTGTTACAGTATTAGCATAACATAAAAATTGTATGATAACCTTTTTCACATGAAAACAAAACATGATACAGAATGCAGCAGAATACCACGCAACAACACATGGCGCAACATGAAACCACAATTCAACATCACGCAACACAACAGAATACAAAATAGTGGAAGCAAAAGAAAATTACGGAACATTCGAATAGAATCCACTATGGCAGCATATTATGGAACATGCCAAAATAGAATCAGGGCCCGTGGAATCCTTGACTCCGAATAGCAAAATCCTTACTACGACGACCCCCAAAGAAAGGAGCCCCTACTTTCTGAACTCCCCCCAAGAACGTCTGGGCAGGGCGCGGGTCGGTATTTCGGAGCACACCGTGGCCGAAGCCAGGAATCACCTTGCCCGAAGCCAAGGTCTCCTGGAAGGATTTAGGTTCAGGGCTTTGCTTGTTTCCGCGTTTCCGCCTGCCGTCCAGTCATGGGTTGATAGGGTGATGTTGCGCTGCGGCAGTGAATGTGATGCAAGGTAGATGTATTGGGTGCTCGGTGCCTTGCGACATGCAGCAATGGCTCTCAAAGCCCAACCACCCAAACCAGCGCCTTTTAGGCTTTTGGGGCTTAGGTCATTCGAGGGTTTGCTGGAGTTGGGGCTGGGGTCTGCCACAGTTCTGCTGCTGTCCCCACGGTTACATACTAGTACTGGGTCGACTTGTGCCATCGAGGTCGAGGAGCAGGTGAGGGCTCGCAAGAACGAAGCAGGTTTTGCGTTACCAGTACGGAGTGTAAAGCATTTCGGGCATGTCAACGCTCTGCCCGGTGCACGGTTTAGGGGCGTGCGCGCATGCGAGGCTGAACCTTGCACGTTAACCGCACGAATTGCGAATCGATCGAAGCCTTCGCAGTTGCAGGCCCCGGCCGAAAAAAGGAATCACCAGAAGGCTACTAGTCTTCTGGTGTCTACGAATCCGCCTCTTGCGATCAGTCGGGTCGCCAGATTCAGCAATATTACCGCTCATTCATACTGCGACTCAAACACAGCTGCTGTCCGTCGAGCTCAACTCTGTCTTTAGGAAGCGATCACCAAGTCCTCTAGAGCTGCTCATGCCCGACGAGATAGTATAAACTGATCGTGACAACGACAGTCTCCTCCTCCTCCTCCTCGTCCTCTTTCTCACCTTCACATGCTCCTGCTCCTCTTATTTGTGCAGCCACCCTTATAGAACGCGTTGCTTCTATTATGATTTCCATCCGATTCGTGCCTTGGCGAAGGCAGTCAACAGCTCCACTGTTGGCTCCTGTCCTTCACACCGGGAACCAGGTAAGGGAAAAGTGAGGACACGAGAATCAGAGACGAGGGAGGAGGCTGCAGAGGAAGCCAGGATAGACCGCCAGCTGATCTTCCAAGTGTGGAATGCAAGGTGCTTCAAGCAGCTTGCGGAGCAGACTGGATTCCGGCAAAGAGTCACCCCACACCAGAATGGCAGAAACGTGCTGAGGTCTCCGTCCTTTCAGCGTCTCGTGCGTGTTCTTCAACCACCGAAGGCACTCCTGCTCAGATCAGATCAATGTGCCAGATACGCTTGCAGCCCTGCGGACACCCTGCTTTGCCTTCCCCAAGAGCCCTTAAAAATCTCTAGGCCACTCTTGGGGGCCTGGTTGGCCAGGCCATGTAGAGGACCCGCCTGTGCAAGACTGGGTTGCAGGTCCAGAGTTTACTTGAATGCTCTGGCTCCTGCGGAGAGTAGCTAAACCAGTGCGTCGTTTGCAGGGCTTGCACTGGTTTAGGCTAGTTCTATGGTGGTTTGCATACGCTTTCTGAGGAGCATTGGAGCATTGCTAGCCGCGTGAGGACGCAGCCAAACCGCAAACGCCAGCCGCAAAGGAGTAGTACCTGGAACGAGGCGCTTCCTAAGTGATCTACTGCTGCCACTTCTCTCTGAATATCCGGTGAATATGGCATCCCAGTAGTAGTCTGAAGCAGACGGTCCGGTGGGCAATCCTGCTGCAGCCTCATGTCTCTGCGGCAGGAACGCAAGCCCCGAAGCCCTGAGGGGCGCACGGATCACTCAGAGCGCTACCCACGAGGTGCGTAGTGTGGGCTGAGACGTTGCCCGCCTCTTAGCCATCTGCAAACGACATTGGAAAAGCAAAGCCGAAGAATTCAAGCCCAAGGTCGAGCAATCTACCAGCTACATGCTCGCTCTTGGCCTCGTGATCAGCATGAAGCATCAGGTACAAGCGCGTGATGTCTTTGAACTTGTCGCTGTCGTTGACACCTCGAGCTGCATGTTACACTGGACGTTTGGCGGCTCTAAAGACCTGGTACTTCCAGGAAGGCGAAGCTTGCCCGAAAGTCGTGAATCGAAGTGATCGCAGTCAGCTTGCCATCCAAGCTCCAGGCCCAGCATCTGTGCGTAGTTGCCCGCCCAGTCCAGTGAAGGGTCGCTAGGGATCTCAGCAAAGCCCAGAAGAAGCTTTGCACGAGTTGCCGTATGTTGCATACCGCCCTGCGCTGGAGAAGAAGGTAGTGGGTTACCTGGATGCTTCTCTTCGAAGGCAAAACTCGGAGCCTCTACATCCCCAAGGTCCCACCCCCATGCCGATCACTGTGGCCAGTGCATGCTGGCCGTTCTTGAAGACGTTGCAGAAGATACGAGCAGCAAGGACGGGGACCTTCGCCACCAGGGACAAGGCCTCGAGCGTCAGGCGAACAGCCTCCAAAGGTGCCGTGAGAAAAAAATCTCTGACCTCTTCGCTGCCCTCGAAAAAACATGTTTTTTTTAGGGCGAGGCGTCCTCCAGGGTGTATTGCCTTGGCCAGACCGACTCCAAGTCACAAAGCAAAGCACAGGAACGTCGCGAGGGAATTTACAGCCAGAGCGAGAAGAACTTGTGAAATTCCTCAAACTGCTCACAGCAACAGGGGAGACTGCATCACGTCGGCTAGTTGGGCTCCACGCCAGTACTCCGTCTTCTTCAGATTTCCTGACCTGTAGGCCTGACAGCTGAACTCTGGCATGAAGGGGGCTTTCCCTCTCGTTGCATAGGTTCGTTGATATGGAAGCTCCTCAAGACTTGTCTTGCGCAGTGCACTGCTTTGACCTCCGACATATCACCTCAGACACACACGCGCAGCCAACATCCGCCACTGAGTTGCTTTCGCCATGGAAGACTTCAGGGGCGTTACATACAACACCACATACAAACATCTTGGCCTGTCCACTTTTCCTCATTTCCATTGGCGCATATCATCATCAAAATGTGTAGTGTCCATGTATTCCAGGCAAAATTATGCCATTCGATGCAGGCTTGAGACTCACTTGAGACACAGATCTGTGAACGGGCTTTTCAACTTCCGTACAATACCGTTTATGTGATTTATGTGCACAAACCATCAAACATCCTCGAGGTTCACAGACTGGGCACTCCAGAGTTGAAAAGGCATCGTACATCAGCCAAAGTTGGCTGTCGGGTTGGGTCTGCTCCCAGTCAAGCAGTATGCTTGTAGCACAGTCACATGTGACGGTGATGTCCTCGTTCGATTATCTCTACACGGCAGCAGACCCGTCTTGCTCACGTCCACACTCCATGCCCCTTTCAATTCTGTGCGGGCTGAAGGAAAGGCCGTGGCTTCGAATTGAGACTGAACGTCTCACGACATTCAAGATAGCCGGATGACACATGGCAGCTCTTGACATGACGGACCTCAGCTGTGATAGCTGGTTCCCACCAAACTCAGCCGAATTTGACGGCGTCTGATCGACAACCCGCACTGCGACGACCGAGCTTCAGTCAGTTCAGATATGTAATCCCGTTGCTATCTTGCAGCTTCAAATGCCGTGATGTATAACCTGAGATTGAGGGAGGCATGATGCCACGACTTCATTGCTCGGATCTCTGCGCAATGTCGCGGTATGTATGTATCATTCATGCAGCACGCCAGGATACCGAACACTTCAAGCAAGGCCAATGTGCTCTACATCCTGAATTACTGTTGCAGGCTCCAAAAAGGCTGCAAACAAAACAGTTGCCTCGAGGCCCTGCCCCGTCCAATTCTGTAGAGGGCATTGAAGGGCTGTCTGACGGCGTCTGATCGACTTGCTACCGCACAAACAGCCCGCACTGCGACGACCGAGCTTCAGTCTCTTCAGATATGTAATCCCGTTGCTATCTTGTAGCTTCAAATGCAGTGATGCATGACCTGAGATTGAGGGAGGCATGATGCCACGACTTCATTGCTCGGATCTCTGCGCAGGCGCAGTGTCGCAGTATGTATGTATCATTCATGCAACACACCAGGACACCGAACACTTCAAGCAAGGACAATGTGCTCTACATCCTGAATTAGCAGGCTTCCAGAAGACTGCAAACAAAACAGTTGCCTTGAGGCCCTGCCCCGTCCAATTCGCATTGACGGGCTGTCTTTTTCTGCCATGAGCATGGCAGAATCTCTTGTTCACCAATGGTCGAGTCATGCATGAAAACGGAGCTCTTGTGCGACCTGCGTGAGCTCTTCACAGACACTGTCCGGGCACCTGCGCTTGGCCAACGCAAGCAAACTCAAAATATTGAGATGCTGCAGACCTTTCTTGAATCTCTTCACGGCCTTCACATCCGACTGGGCTCCAACCATTCCTGCGAGCTGCGCTTCCTCCTCCAAGAGGTGGACGGCATCCCATACGGTTGGCTTGTCGACCTCGCCTGCTCTCGACTTCAGCACATCGGCTACGATCCGCAAAAGTTCGCCATACGGCATCTGATGGACCATGGCACGCTGATCCTTGTCCAACTTCACCTGACACACTTATTGGAGCCCCTGCCAGAAATAAGGAGTTATACGCAATCAGCTGTGGGGCAACTTACCTAGCAGACCTAGCACCTCCTAGCAGCTAGCCAATCAATGGACACATGCCGAAAACTGCTTTTGTCCAGCCTCCCGCGGATGTTGGAAGTGACAATGGCCACATGCACTGCCATTTGGGCAGTGACGACGAGCCATCACGTGCACACAAGGGCGGTGGCATGCGATGGGATGGCCCAAGCTGCCAACATTCACCGGTTCGGATGCCGCCTTTAGAGCATCTGAAGCAGCGTCGTTGGGCTTCTCGCTTCCAGTCGGCATCAGATTGGACTCTCGACTGCTACCAACGAGCCCGCGCTCATTCATCAGTCCCTTCAAGTAGTCTCGGCAGCGAGCCACCTCGACCTCTTCTGGGAGCGCGTCTTCACCAAGGCGACTCGGACGATCGGGAGGCGGCGGTGTCAGTGCCCTTCGGCTCCGGACACCGCAAGAAGCCGCCTCTTCGCTGTCTGTGGCGTGGATGAAGGTGAAACGGTAGCTCAGCGCCAGCGGCATGGAGACTGTGACAACCACTGGAAGGCTGATTTAGCTACAGCTCTCAGTACTGAAATTTCTGAAAGGAGCAGCTACGCAGAGCCGAAAAAATGCAGCACGGCCGGGCTGAGCGGGAATGCTTTCTGCACGACGATATGGAAACGGATCGAGCCTGTGTAAAACATTACCTGCATCGACACCCTCAGAGAGTGCAGCCAGCAGATACCCATCTCGCCTTCCCAAACTCGCTTGTGGGCTGCAGGGCCAGGAGACCCATGGCGAGCTGCGACATCGGGTGGGTGTCCTGCCCGCATGAACATTGTCATGCTTTATAGTGGAACTTCCACACGATCGCCTCCCTTCTCACGTCTTCTGCTGCCGAGACTATTGGTATCTGTCAGGGAGCGACACAACTCCGCAGGTGTTCCGACTTCCTACAGTCGTACAGAGTGCAAAAATGGCCCGAATCGCCGAAGCCCTGTGAGTCTTGCAATCGACTCTGGGATGGAAAACGCCTCTGAGGATTATTGCTCTATTCATGTGTACGCCGTTTTGGGTCATCATGGTCATCCCCCTGCTCTTCCTCTGTCATAACTGCAGTACAACACCCGGACTCGTCATGAATCTCCAGACGCCCGTCGGCAGCAATAGACATGATGATGGTAGTTCGCAGAAGAAGCACCCTGCAATACTCTTCATGGTCGTAGCAGTACCTTTTCTGAACGCAAGAAGAACGCTTCTATGCAATACTTGTAATTAAGCGACAACAGCAGTAGAGCAAAAGCAGAATGACAGCAGTCTTGCAGACTCAATAGGCACACAAAAAGGTTGCAATTTCAACACTCATACAATCTCCCTTGGTGATGACATGCTTCAGTACGAGCAGTAGCCGTAATTAGCTAATAGAGCCGGCGAAGGAAACTCGGCCAAAGCAACAGAAACTGACGCGGTCCACACAAAAACCGTAGTGCCGGTGCGAGCATTACTGATGGCCGCAAGAACATGACAAGCACACTTAGCTACACGAGCCACCATAATCCAGCAACTGCAGCTCTAATTACAATAGACTGCCAACCGCTGGGAACAGTAAGTCCACTCATCATCATCATCATCATCATCATCATCAACATCATCATCAGTGCAAACTAGCAATGCTGAACAGACCTGGCTCTCTACTTGGACTGCTCAATGTAGCAATGATGCTTACAGGAGTAGGAGGAGTAGTGTTCATAGTAGGCTAATAGTACTGCAAGAGAATTACAAGAAGGAGGAAACGATAAGTATGAAAAGTCAGGCAAGCGATGCAACATCCAAATCAAACTCTGTGCAGCATGCTCTGGCCGTGGGAACATCAAGGCCGAGCAAAACAATATGAAAGTCGAACACCAGTTTCAATATGGACGCAACTGGAAGAAATCCTTTGGGATGCTGTCAACCAGCTTGATGACGTCGGCAGGGAGCGCAGACCGTTTGTGCAGCTCTTCGTTCAGGGCCTGCATCTGAATACTTGCAGACTGGTTAGACACATGGCCCATCGTCCCTCCAGTACACGACTGAGTATGCGTGGATTTCGGAGTAAGGCTTCGGGAAGTTCGGAAGTCGCTCCGCCGCTGGTTGCAACATGCTTCAATGCATGCTCTACTGCATCTCCTTCCAAGAATCGGCTCGACATCAAAGCGAACAATGCGATCTGCAGCTTCAGACTTCGCAGCTGTTGGCCTGAAATCTGTCGCAAAGGTTCTAGACTCGAACCATCTTGAACAAGACTCACAAGGAACTCCCAAGAAACCTCGAAACCCGGAGATGGGAAGGAACGGCGGTGCAACATGGAGCCTTAACCTCGGCATCCGTCGGAATCTCGTCTGTCAGCAGCAGCCAGAAAGAGGCCTGGCTTCTGGCTTTCTGGGAGGCAGGTGGGATGCAGGAATGTCGCAGGCCTCGGGGAGGCCGATCTTGCTGCCTGGCGCCTTGGGCAGCTGGTCCATGCACTCCTGTTACCCAGAGAACCCAACACACTTCAATTAAGGAATATACCTTAAATTATAGGGGCCTTGACATGAAGATTTCAGGTATATTCCTTAATTCAAGGGTATTGGGTTCTCTGGGTAGAGCGAGTCAGAGCTCCTTGAAGTCACGATTTTTAGCTGTGGGGCAGGCTGTCCTGGAGCGTGCGGCCACGGTAGCGAATGCCCTCCATGGGATCCTGCGCAAAGCTCGCTGCTTTCGCTCCACCACGTGCGAACATGTGAGTTGCGAGTCGAATCCGCCCGGGGGCCCCTTGAGACATTTGTCCTCCTAGATTCGGGATGCTCTTACAACACGACAGTTGCCCAGCCTGCTGAACCAAAGCGAAGATGATCCGCATTCGCCGAACCCAAATACCAAACCTGCAAACCCACAACCCTTGAACATCTCTACCGGTAAACTTTGCAAAAGCTGCCCGTTTGTAGCATCCGAGAAAGCTCCGGATCGGATGGGTTGATCGACCCGGCGGAAGGCCAACAAAAGCGTCTCTTTCCAACTGCCTAAAATGCCCTGTGGGTGGTTTAGCTTCGAGCAAAGTGCTCTCCCGAGCTCAGGATGATGACCGGATTCCGAAAAACGAAACTGCCCATGCACCCATAGTTCTGTGTCTGGGCGACTGCACCCCACTATCCGGCAGAGCTGTCCAACAAGGAGGTCTCGCTGATCAGGCACTTGATGCCACGCATGCCGCCGATGCACCTCAGCCCAAGACAAGCGTCGCTGTGAAGTCTCAGCTGCAACAGAGCCAGGTGCTTTTTCAGGAATTGGGTGCGGATCGCAGCAAAGTTCCGAGGCCTCGAAGATTGGAATGAGTAAGCCTAGCGTCCGGATGCGCCCGCCTCCTCTTCAACAGTCTGGGGATTTCCCGAACATGCTCAGGTTTTGAGACTTGGACAGAACAAGGCTGAGGGATCTTGTGCTCCAAACTTGGTTGATTCCGATGTCTCATGTCGCCTTCCAGCTCAAGCTCTCGCTGACTCGCAGCTGCGAAACTTTGCTGAGCAGCCCGGCTGTCCGACAGTCGAGTCTCCCAAGGACTTGTCTCCATGTTCCTGACAAGGGCAACAAGCAGACAACCAAGCGAGGGCAAGACATCTGAGCGGAAAAATACGTCACGACAGCGGAGTAAATCCTCCGGCCGATGCAGCGATGCACCCAGCCTCACCACTCCCAATAAACAGGCCGTGAACAGAGCAACGCGCCCTTCCTCCGCCCTTCCACTGCTCTGCGCTCACCCGAGTGGCCGTGAGCGCGCCTTCCGGAGTGCGACGAATTGCGGGGTCTTCTTGTCAGCCAGCGCCTGGGGCAGAGCGCTCTTGACGTTCCAGGCTAACAACAGTCAGGACTCCAAAAGAAGAGTAACAGCAGGAGACGGAAGAGCTCTCTCGCATTAAGCAACTGCATCTTCAAAGCCAGCGTCTTCACCCATCGATGAGGCGTATCCGTATGTATGGTGCAGCGCTGCCAGGCCCCCCCTCCCTCCTCCCACCCCATTGCGTTCCCCCCCGCCCCCTGTTGCATGTGGTGCGGGTTCCCCCTCTGTCCCTCCCTCGACCACTGGTCCCTTGCTCAAGAGTCCTGAATGAAAGCCAATCAAGCAACTGAGCATAGAATGACAACATTCGATACAAATTACGAAAATCTACTTCGTATCAAGCCAAACACGAACTGAAAACAATGAAAGCAATGAACATGCGGTACCTAAGGGCAGAACAGGCTAAGAGCAGTGGTGCTACCAACAGTCACACTCAGAATACCAGCATGCAAGAAGCACACCAGCGTCATTGTCTTCATCATCGCCATCAGTCTCATCCGTTTGGGGAGGGGGGCGCGGGGGGTTGCGCGATTCTGCGCGAGAGTTCCAAAAGAACGCCGATAGCTACGAGGATGATGGCGCAGACGAGCACCATCCCTGTGACTGTTTGCTCGGATGAGAGGCCTGGCTTGGCTGCTGTGGGAGGGGTGGGGTGCAACTAAAACCCGGTCTATTTGCCAGCAGAAGCTGTGCATTGTAACACAAACCCACAACCTAAATAGGCGGCAAACATATAGCGTTTTATGTTTTAGGGGGCTGCGGAGGGAAGTTACATAACTTCCATCCGGAGGCCTCCCCCATATCTAACTTGTTTAAGTTTAAAGTATTTAATTCTGGGGAGGGGGTTGTGGAGGGGTCCGGGAACCACCTCCCCAGGATTTTACTTATTTAATCTATTAAATTCCCGGCCGGAATTAAATAATGTAAATAAGCTGAATCCGGAGGCTTCCCCTAAATCAAAAAGATGTAAAAAATTTAGATCCTGGCCCCTCTCAAGACTGGCCACCTTGATCTTTGACTGGAGAGTGCTCACGATGGCGCTTTGCGAGAAGGCACGGCGCCTTGCCGCAGAGCTCAAGTCGAAGATCGGAGACTTGCTCAACCACAGCAAGTCAGCTGCCAATGTGACGACCACGAAAAAGGTGGTCCCGACTGGAACTCCAAGATCTGCAAATGCTGAGCTGGTGGCTGGATGGGCGTGGACAGTGTCCTGCAGAACACCTGGGCAGAGGCGGTCTTAGCTTCGGGGACTCCGGTACTAGACCGCTCGTCAGCACGGTCACGATCCTGACCCCAAGCCGCGTGTGACAAAGACTACCATGAAATTCAAACACAAGGCCCGAAGCACGGCAAGCAAAATGATCCGCGAGAGGTCTGATGACGGCCGAGAACTCAGGTTTTGAGTTTCGATGCAAGCAGGTGGCAGGCCTACGCTTCACTCCTAGCCAAACTCCCCCCAAATGCCCTTCAATGCATCCAGGGCACCTTGTGCATCATGCGGAGGAACAATGCCAGCACACAAGAGGGGCAAAGGGGAAACTGTGCAAGCTGCACACTGCAAGCCACGAGCGCGGTTGGGATTCGGGCTCTGGAATTTAGGGCTTTGGTAGTCCGGGCTGTCGTGGCTATAGACGGGTAGCAGATGCTGGTAGTCCGGTGTGGGAAGGGTTCAACCTGTACAGGTTCCTCGCGTTCTTAGATGAACAGTACCAAAAGCTTGGAACTTAGAAAGCACCCTGGCTTGCCACTGACTTGTTCTGCGTACTCGGGAGCGAGTTGCGGTTAAACAGTTGAAACGCCTTTGGCGGGAGTTCATGACATCATGGTGCTGGCCCGCGGTAAAACGGCTTGTGAACCTGGCGTGGTCGCTTGCTCTTCAGGCGGCACAGGAGCCTCAGCACTCCAGGATGCCTCACCTGCGACGAGGACACGAAACGGAGAACTTATCACAGATAGACCCAAATGGTCGGAACTCCGAGTCGCTTCGTCTAGAACTACAGGGCACAGTCGTGACCCAACCCTGAATGCATCCTCCCAAGGTCAACGTGGTTTCCAGCAGCAACTGTGGCTTGGCCTTTCAGTTTTGTTCGGGATTGCTGCTCCAGCTTTTCCGACCTGATAATGACAGTTGCTAACATTGCCAGACTACTCCTCCTGCTAAACTTGCCGTTGAAGCGCTACTCACGAATCACGAGCCTGACAGCTGATTTTGCAAGTGCATGGCTGACCCCAGCTTAGAGTGCCCAGGACGGCATCTCAGCTCTCGAAGCTCGCATCTTCTTGAAGTTCACGGGAACCATTCTTGTCTTCTTGAAGTAGCCGCCATGTCGGTCGATTCGGATGATCCTTTCTGTAAGATTCTGGTCCAGCCGAAACTCCCTCCAAACACGTCCGACATCGGGCAAGCTAAAAAGGTCGTCGAAAATTACATAACCACCGACCGCGACGAAGTTGTACAAATAATACAAAGCATCCTGATGCGAATCGTAGAAGTTGGCATCGATGCGCAAAATGGCAATCTTCTGGTCAGACTTGGAATAGTCTTGCCAGAACCGGCGCATCGTCTCCTTAAATAAGCCTTGGTGGTACTTTACTCTCGCATCCTGGACCCCAAAAAGCTCAAAGTTCTTCTTCACCGACTCCAAGTCGACATGCAGCCGCTCTGCTTTCTTTCCGTATGTCCCCATCGCTTCAAAGGCATCGAAGAGATGGACCTCACGTCCAACTTCTCCTAGTAGGTTGAACAGAGCCTTGGCGAAAATGCAGGTGCCACCCCTCCAAACACCGGCCTCAACAAAGCCACCTGGGATACCATGCTGAACCACTTTCAGCACCAATTGAGCCACGTTCTGCATCCGGAGCATGCCAACCATAGTGTAACCGTGCTTCAGCGGATGGTCGCTTCCACAGAAACGCCGGTCGTATGGGAAATCCCTTCGATCTGGCCGTAGTGATCCGGTCAAGCTCAAAGCCAGCAAGCGCACGATGCTACGATATGCAACTGGGTAGCCAAGCGAGACATCATGAGACTTGTCTACAAACTCCGCTGGTGAAATGATCGACATGTTCTTGTACCGACACCTTCGTGGAATCCCTGTGACGTCGAAGAACGGGAAGGACGCGGCAAGTTCAGCAGCAATGCCGTAAGTTCCAGAACTGAGCATACAAAACCATAGTTGCAGCAGCACGTTCCAGGCTTGTGCCATCCCAGCCAGAACTTGTTCTGACTACATCTGCATCCTCGTGCCAAGACGTCACAAAAAGCAGTATCTCTAAACAAGGTCGCGTAGAGCACTGCGGGGAAGGGAGGAGCCTAAGAGCACTTTCCTGGGAAAGTACCTGTCCTTGGCTTTGCACTGCAAGTTTGTGGTGCTTCAGATGCACACTGGCTGGCCTGAGAAAATCACCTTGGGCCTACATGAGCTCAGGAATCGTGATGTTGTTGTATCATGAACACGTTGACACTGGCGCTGGCGCTGGCGCTGGAGCTGGGGCTGGTGCTGGTGCTGCAGGTGCTGCAGGTGCTGCAGGTGCTGCAGGTGCTGCAGGTGCTGCAGGTGCTGCAGGTGTTGCAGGTGCTGCAGGTGCTGCAGGTGCTGCAGGTGCTGCAGGTGCTGCAGGTCCGCAGGTGCTGCAGGTGCCGCTGGTGCTGCTGGTGCTGCTGGTGCTGCTGGTGCTGCTGGTGCTGCTGGTGCTGCTGGTGCTGCTGGTGCTGCTGGTGCTGCTGGTGCTGCCGGTGCTG